AAAGTTGTTAATCCATTGCTGACATACAACATATAGGCCTAAGGCTAGATGGAATGAAAGCCTGCATGTCCTAGACTATACAACAGCATAGACTATACAACAACAGCATTGACGATGGTTTCCTTTCATGTCCTGCATCCGTAATAATCCGTAAACTGAACATAGAGCGGGCGTGTATCTTGAGCCCAAAACATCGATCAGCTCCAGCTAACTCTAGGCCTAGCCTAGGTATTTCGTGACTGGACAGCTTCTAAGCGATTTACAATGTAGTTCGTAGTGTCTATAAACCGTTCAACACAGTTAACAAGGCAAGATTCCGACTTGGACTCCAGTCTTGTGCTCAACCTTGTCTCAGCTAGACATTTCTCCCAACAAGTATCAGTGAGAGAATACACAAGCTGTTGAAATTTTTGTTTCTGAGACTCCTTGTTAATGAAATGAGCAAGCTCAGGGTCCCCTTGGCCGGTATGCTGACCACCAAAGTTCATTTTATTTCTTTTTGTAAGAACTCAGCCAGCTTTCCAACACCCATCACCAGCAGCACACTGCAGTTTGCTAGGAGCAGGAATGATTGTGTTGCTGCGCATGCGTTGGCTATTCCATTACCCACGTGCTTAATTTGATTTTTTTTTTTTTTTTTTTTGCGAACTTTGGATGGGTAGTCTTTTCGAGATGGGCTTCTTTGCAAGATGGCCTTCTTTTCGTGGCTACTTTTGCAATGTAAAATGGCCGGGCCTCTTTTCAAAGTGAATACTGTAAAGTTTGGGAAACTACTAAATAGTAACTGTAACATCTGTCTATCATGGAGTGTAGTTATTAACACACAAATCACTAAACGTGCACTTTTTAATTTATTTTGTTTCTTTGAAATTCATTTACAGTGCATGTATTCTACTATCTCGAAAAAGAAGCCCATGCCATCTTGAAAAGAAGCTTATGGGCTTCTTTTCGAGGCTAATTTTGCAAACTAAAGAGCGAGGCGGGGGGGGGGGGGGTGGTGTGGGTTTCAATATGGGCTTTTCCTCTCGAGATTAAACCCATTGGGTTTCTATTCGAGGTTTTACGGTAGTGCCAACCGAGATTAATACCCTTGACACAAAGTTGCTTTCTTTGTTTTATATATCTTATTAATATGAAGCATAGCTATTTACTATAAAAGCACAATCCGGGAGGATACGGGGATGTCACCTGACAAAGAAGTGTCCACCCTCCAGGGAGTGTATACGTATTTGCTTACAATTATCAGTCTGTACATCAGTATTAATGTTAGAGCCCTCTCAAAATATTGTCGAATGAATAAATAATAATTTCAGTTCTGTTGTGTACGGTGTTTAGTTTATACTTAGGTTATTTATTTCACTAATAATTTATATTTTTCATTCGCTGATTATAAATTTGTACTTTTTATATTGATTGTTTAAATTTGAATTAGTATCAATTCCTCCGTCTGCCTTGCTTTAAAAAAAAATAAAATAATGGAATGTATTTAATTTCTTAATTATATATTTTCATGTCAACATTATCATATCATTATTAATACTATATTAGTTATGTTTGTTTTTTAATGAGAGATTAATTATTACATACATATTTTACATATATATAGGCCTATTTTGCTGATGTTGTTGATCATCAGATCATCTTTTATTATTTAATAGGATTTTCTTATTGTAATTTTTTTTTTACTTTAAACTGCTACGCTGCAGATAAATTGTATAAACATGTTTGGATACACTTAGATGCTAAGGCTCTGCCTTGTGAGGAGCCTAAGTGTATGAATAAAAAAAATTATCGTTTGATTTAATTTTTGTTATATCTATGTTCAAAAAAATCCTGAGACAGGACTAAGGCCTAGGAGCTAGAGTGGTTTTTTTTCTCATTATTGTTAATCCTAACTAACTTAAGTTACTTTTTTTTTTTTTTGTTAAATTTCTTTTAATTGTTTTGTGTTATGATTAAGGAACGAACGAATGATGGGTCAATAATGAATTGGTCTACCGCCCTCTTTACAACAGTGCAGTCAGTGCTGGGTTACGTCATCACTGATTTCGATGCTGATTGGCTAAGTCTACCGTGCGAAAAAGAGCTTATTCGCACGGCACCGTGCCAACAGTCACTTCTTCCATAAAATTGTGGTGTTGCGAAGAAGTGAGGTGAAAGGTAGCAGTTGACTGGTAGTGAAAAACGTGTAGCCGGGGACCTTTGAATATTCGTTAATGCAAGTCACAAAATATGGCTAATCATGATATATCTAGTGTAACAGAACAGCTGGCTCAAACTAAAGTTGAGCAGGTCAACGAAGTATCTTTTAAAGGACAAAGTTTGAAGTTGGACAAAGCTGAAGATGGTGAGGTTGAGAATCGTATCCGTCGTACACGAAACGCGCAGTGCCACTTGCCATCCAGCGAGTAACAAGCCTAGGCTAGACCTAGCTAGCAGAGTAGTTGAGGCCTAGGCTAGCCCCGTAATAAGCTTTGTTCTTACCCTCTCATTTATTTTAATCTAATGCTCTGCTGGGCTGTTTCAAACTCCTACACCTAGCCTCTATGCATTAATTTATAAATGTAATATAATCATTATAATAATAATTATAATAATGTAATTATAGGCCTAGGCCCCTAGCTAGGGCCTGCCTAGGTCCTGTAATGTAAGGAGGAGGATGGTGATATGATAAGTTGACAAATACATTACTAGCCTAGCTAGCATAGGCCCAAATAGAGATTACAATTAGGCCGTGGGCCTAGGTCTTGTTGTTTTTATTGTAGGCCTATGCTATATATTGGGCCTAACCTGGAATAATATTGGCAGCGTTTGGATGGTTGAGTATTTAAGGCAGGAGCGCTACAGACATACAACCATAATATTGGCACAAGTAAAAAACAGGCTCACTTATGATAAGGACTTCGCCCAGTGCACACAATTTGGTACAGTAATGCATCATGTGCACTTTAAAAGGTCTCTCCACTGATCTCTACTATAACTGTCTCTTATACACATCTAGATGTGTATAAGAGACAGCATTAAGGTTAGAAGGTAACACATTAGGAGTAGATGCTGCAGAAGCCATTGGTAAAGCTTTGGAAAAACGACCAGAGTTTCAGGTACAGTATGCAGGAATGTGGGTTTCTAACCTAACATGGTGAATTGCAAGGGATTTTTCATGTTCATTTAAGTATCCCGAAGGGGACAGTCTTAGGACCACTGGCTTTTATGTTGTTTATTTATAACCTTTCCAGATCGCCTGGAGTGAACTGTTACATGTTCACTGATGACTATTATGGTGTATTTAACAGTAGCTGGCCCTGAGAATATTGTGAGACTGCAAGATGATCTTGACACAAATGGCAAAGTAAATGCAGATGAAATGCCATGTCCTACCTGTGTCCTACAAAGGAAAATTGGTCAATTTTAAAAACATTATACAACAAAAACAAAACAAAACACCCTTGACAGTGACAGGATTAAATTAAAACAAACTTAATTGCTGTACAATTTTTCTCCACCGCCAAGGGGGACACTTAACAAACAATAATTAATAAATATATAAATATATCTAAAGGTTAAAATTTACAATAAAAGGCAGATTATAAAATATAGAATTTAAGTATCCCAAAGGGGACGGTCTTAGGACCACTGGCTTTTTTGTTGTTTATTTATAACCTTCCAGATGGCTTGGAGTGAACTGTTACATGTTCACTGTATACAACAGAAAGAAAACAAAACACCCTTCACAGAGACAGGATTAAACAAAATTGTGGTGGATAAGTTGCTTGGCCTCATCTAATTTTTAGTTGAATGCAGTTTTTTCTATGGGTGGCTTTTTTTCTATATGTGGTTTTTATGTGCAATATTTGTTGTGTTTTTACTTTATAATTTTTTGATTTTGTAATATTTGAAACAATTTATTAATTTGAAAAAAAATCATATTTTTATATATTTAAATTTTCTATATAGATTGTATTTTGAAGTCATTAATGGAACCTTTCGGTGTTATTATTGAGTCTAGTAATTTTTTTAATGTGATTTTTCTTATGTATTTTAATGTTTTGTCCATTCTTGTTGTAATTTTATATATAATATTTTTAATATTCTTGCATTTTTAATATATTCTATTTTTGTAAATACATTCATTTCAGCCTTTGGCTGCCATTTTTATATTTTCTTTTATAACTGAATAAATAAATAAAAATTACGTAATTATAAAATGTTAAAATAACAACTAACTATTCTTATTTTATTATGGTGCTGGTGTAAGGAACTAATTAAATACATTCATTCTTACAGAGAGCTAGATGGAGTGATATGTTTACTGGAAGGCTGCGCTCAGAAATACCCCCAGCTTTGGTAAGACCACTGCACAATAATAATGAATCATTTATAAATATAGCCAAACTAGGACTGTAAATATACGTATTTCTGTTGCAAAGACTCACACCTAGAAATCTGTAAATAAATTTAAGTACTGCTTTTTCTCTCCAAATTTTGCAGAAAGTTAAGCCTGGTCATATGTCAAGTCCAAAAACAGTATGCCTAGTAAAACTGATGCATTTGATATTTGTCTATTCATATTTTAGAGGAGTTTAGGAGGTGCAATTATAAGATCAGGAGCGCAGTTGGTTGAACTTGATCTAAGTGACAATGCATTTGGACCAGATGGTGTTAAAGCATTTAAGGAGTTACTTACAAGTACTGCATGTTATTCCTTACAAGAACTTAGACTAAACAACAATGGTCTTGGTATTGGTGGAAAGGTATGTGATGCTATAGGGATCTGTATTGATTTTATCTTTGTTTATTTCCTTCATATAAAACAGAAGTTACTTGCCAATTACATGATGGAATAATAATTTATAAACTAGGTCTCTCCACTGATCTCTACTATAATAGTCACGTTGAGTAGTTAGATGATTTGAAAGGTAATCATTATGTTAATTTTAAATTTATTATTAAAAAGTATTGCAAAAATCATTATTTTTAACAATACTTTAAACAAATGCCAAAAGGAGCTTGTCTAAACTGGTACGTCACTTAGGCTCCAACATGGTGTCGGTAGCTTCACTAAAACCAGCCAATGGGCAATCCAGCTATTATAGTAGATATCAGTGGGTCTCTCTATGTGTTTACACTGAATAAATCCATCCAAGATGGTGCATTGATAATAATTATTGTGAATGTTATAACAACTAATCATAGCAGTTATACACACAAAAAATAATATTTTTTAAGCAAAAGAAAAAACTATTGTTATCATTAGTTATCACTAAGTTTGTTTTTATTGTTTATGTGAATTGAACAAAATATGTAGCATTTGGAATATATCTTCATTCTGTTTAATAAATATTTTTTGTGTAGATTTTGGCAGAAGCATTGATTGAATGTCATAAGCTGAGTACAGCATCAGGCAAAACATTGCAACTTAAAGTGTTCATTTGTGGTAGGAACCGATTGGAGAACCCATGCGCAATAGCGCTCGCAGAAGCCTTCAAGGTAGGCACATATAACTTCACTAATCCTAACCCATGCGCAATAGCGCTCGCAGAAGCCTTCAAGGTAGGCACATATCGCTTCACTAACCCTAACCCATGCACCGTAACACTCGCAGAAGCCCACAAGGTAGGCACATGTCACTTCACTATTAATTATCAATTCAATGTTGGAATATACTTTTAGTTTTTTGCGGCGGTCGGCTATTGTACAAAACAGTAAAAGTTCAAGAAGTTCAATATCTGATGTTGTTGCTCAGTGTGTCGTCATCGGAGAGGAGGCCACACCTCTAAACTGGCCGTCAACAACTAGAGTGTCAACCAATTAGGTTAATTTCACACGCTTGAGCTGCAATGACATCAGATCGCCCAAAGCTAGCTGCACAGCAAGCACTAACCCTAACCCATGCACCGTAGCACTCGCAGAAGCCCACAAGGTAGGCACATATCACTTCACTAACCCTAACCCATGTGCAATATCGCTCACAGAAGCCTTCAAGGTAGGCACATATCACTTTACTAACCCATGTGCCATAGCACTCACAGAAGCCTTCAAGGTAAGAACATATATTTTGCCTACCAGACTCATTTCGTTTTGAGTGTAATAAATTTATAAATTATTATTATTCACAGCTCAATATGGATCCTGACAATATTTTGGGGATTTATCAGTACAAGTGGTCTGGAATTTATATTTTCATTTTTCTTGCTTTGATATGAGCAAGTGCATTCGCAGATTTGTTAACAATAAATATTCAAATATTTTGTTTTCAGACTTTACAAACTTTAGAAGAGGTAGCGATGTTTCAGAATGGAATAAACCATGAAGGAATAACAGCTTTAGCACATGGTATATCAC